GCAAGGGCGGCCTTCACTGGCAAACCCTCTGCGACAGTAATTGCCAAAGCTCAATTATTCTGCTGAAGCCCGTTCATATGTACTGTCACAGGGTTTAGAAGACATGTCCATCCCCGCAGACTATGATCAGGTGACCTAATGTAATACTTATCTGAAAAATAAAAGGTGAAATCATATCCTGCAGGCTCCAGGTTTCTCTGCCTTCCTCATGGAAAGGGATCTGGGATCAGATTTTGATTCTACTGCTAACAGAGATGTCTATGCTGTATATTCAACCTCTCTGATGATGTTCACTGCCTTCAAGGCAGCGAGACATATTGTGAATAGCAACCTAATAAAATTCTTTTCTTCAGCATGCTCTGTGCAGTGTTTTATAAGCCGAGTCATATTTCTGTCACACCACTTGATACCAAGGAAAAGAAAAACCATAAGCAATGATTTGTCATCAAAATGGTAGTAAATGAAAAATTACCTTGAAAATCTGAGCACATGCAAGATGTCCCTGCTCTAGACAGATTATTACATTCCTGAGAAACATGAATATTCATACACACTAATTACAGGCCATTAGGGAGAAGGGGAATAACAGACTCCATGGCCACCCATAGTCACTTGCACTAGTGCAGTCAGTGTAATATGCTACCACATCAGGCCAATAACGTTTTGCACTAATTTTGTGCAGGAAGAGATGACTCTGGTATACTCTACCAGAGTGAAAGGGCGCTGGCTGTTTCCACATTTCTGCACTGAACCCATACTAAAATGCACCTCTTCCACCAAACACCAGATGTACATTTGACTACACTCTCTCTAACAAATATCCTGGAGATGGTATCCAAGAAGGTTTTTTTTTAATTATATAACTTCCTTCCTAAAAAGTTTTCTACTTCTGCAGAACTATCCTCCCCTTCCTTCAGCCTAAGTGATCTCCAGGTTCTCTAGCATCATCCTATTTTTTCTTCCTCACACACACTTATAGCTCTTGCCAGTCATTCCTTATCTTTCCACTGCTTCAGGATTATGCACTACCAAGTTATGAGTACTCAAATCCTCCTACCAGCTCCCCATACCTCCAATTACCTTATGTAAAGTTGCATAAGGAAAAAAATAACTGTCACCTCCATAAAGGTTCCAAGTACACTTTGGAAAGAAAAAGAAAAAAAAGATGAAGAACTTTGCTTCTTCCGTGGAAGCTAAATGGTAATTTTTTTTTCCTGGTCTTAGTTTACCATCAGACAACAAGGTAGTTTACTTGTCCCCTAGGTTTTTCAGAAAGTAAAAGCTGTAGTGGTTCCCAAGGCTTTTAGCTACACCACAGACTGGGGATGAGGAAGTACAGCACTATACCAGCTGAACCAAAGTAAGCCTCAATCAGTACCTATCAGGCACATCATGGTTGACCCTAGTTGACCAGATGACGATTTGAAGCAGGGATGGGCAAAATAAAGTTCGCAGCCGGATCCAGCCCATGGACAGGTGCCTGCAATGTGAATGGCTCCGACCCGTGGGTAGGCAGTGGCTCCGGCAGCCCTGTGATGCTGGGTGGAAGTTGCTGCTTCCAGCATTCTGGGAGCTCTCTCTCTCTGGGCCAGGGCTGCCACCAGCCCCGACACGAAAGCATGAACCCACCCACAGCCGTAGCATGCCCCCCACCCCCTGGAAGCCGCTGGCCATGTTTGGGCAGCTGTAGATGTGGCCAGCAGCTGCTGGGTTTGGACTTGGGGAGGCACTAAAACTGCAGGTGGACTCTGGCTGTTGGAGGGGGCGAGGGGGAGTTGGCTTGCTAATGATGCAGAATTCAGGCTTGCATACTGGTCACAGCCCTGGGAGGGAGGGATGGGGAGGAGGAGAAGGAGCGGTGTGGTCCCTGAGAGGTCACCAAAACTCATAAAGTGGCCTGCCAACCCAAACAATTGCCCGCCTTTGATCTAGAGGCTCAGGGATGAAGCTTGTAGAAGAGCAAAGCTTATGTCCACAGAAGACAGCACTTTCTCAGGGCTGATCCAAGCCTGTGGAACTAAGGGCCTTCACAAACCTCCTCACCTTCTTCAGGATGTGTGAGGTACATTTTGACAACAGAAGGCCAAGTCAAAATATGTAACAACTAGGGGTGCACTGATAAAGATTTTCTTGGCTGATACCGATAGCCAATTATTAACCAGCCATATTGGCTGATACTGATCCAATAACCAATTTACAGGAATGCAGCTGGCAGCGCAGAAAGCAGCTCCCTGCAGGTAAGTCTATAGAGGGAAAGGGGTATGGGGAGAAGGGCAGATCAAGGCCCCCAGGGTCAGAGAGGGAGGCAGGGGCAGCCCAGCCACAGTGGTGAATGGTACCTAGGGCTGGGGCAGGACAGAGCTGCAGGCAGGGGATCAGCGTCCAGGGGCTTAAAAATGGCTGCGAGCACACTTGAACTAAAGCTCATTGAATGAGTTTTAGTTTAAGTACCGCTGCCATTTTTAAGCACAGGGACACTTTTAAGAAAAGCACAGCTGAGCAGAGTGAGGGCAGATACGGGCTGCCCACTGTGGGCTTGGGGCTCTTTCGTCTGCTGCCTTTACCCTGGGAGCCCTGCACCAGCCGCATGCCCCAGGCCCAACTGGCAGCAGGAGGCACAACTCACCACCCCCACTGCTGCTGGTGGGGCAGGGATGTGTGGCCACTGTAGGGCTCCCAGGAGTAAGGCAGCAGAAGAGAAAACCTTGAGCCCACAACAAGCAGCCCGCATCTACCCAGCGCACAAAGATGGGGGGGTATATCCCCCCCCCCCGGTGGGTGCATATAGAGGCAGGGAGACCCCATCCCCCCATGACAAGTTGCCTGTAGCTCCTTCCTGCTCCCTGCCCTGGGTCCCATTCACCACCCTGGCTGGACAGCACCCTTAGCCCCACTCCCTCAAAGTTGGGGGCTTGATCTGCCCCCCGTCACGCTCCTTCCCCTCCACAGACTTACCTGCAGGGAGCTGCTCTCTCCGCTGCCTGGCTGCATTTCTGGCCACGTGCATGCACATGCACACAACGTCTGGGGGCCCTGCCCAGAAGACATAATTAATTATATTTAATAGGTGTGCATTATCAGCTACACCAGCCAAAAAAAGCCAATAGCCAATAATGCAAGTTTCCCCTTAATCAGTGCCAATCCAATATGCAACCAACGTATCAGTACACCTCTAGTAACAACACATATATTTAAACAAGTCCAAGAGCCCTACCAGAGCAACAGACATTACTGATGTTCTTCCCTGTGTGAGAGAAGAGCCAACCCACAACAGAAGTTAGTTACGTTGTTTAATCCATTACAGGTGCAGGTGCTGGTGCAGCCACCTGGGTACTGCTTGGTACCCTCTGCCTCCAGTGGCTTTTCCTCCTCCAGCCCCTCCTGCACTGCTCCAGGCTTGGGGGGAGCTGCAGCCAAGGGGCTCCTGCCCCAGAGGGCAGGGCTCCAGCTCCCTTCTACCCACTCAGCTGCCCACAGATGGCTGCTCATCACCTTGCCCAGTGGGTGGAAGGCAGTTGGGAGCTAGAGCTCCACATGCTGGAGCAGGAGCCACTCAGATGCAGCTCCCCCCACCCACCTTGAGCAGTCAGCAAGGGCAGGAAAAGGAGGAGCTGCTGGAGGTTGGGGGAAGCCAAGCAGTACCCAGGCAGCTGCAGCCACACCAGGAGCAGCCCTGTTGGGAAGCTGTGCATGCTGGTTGGGGCCAGTGGGCGCATGCAGGAGCAGAGGGCGAGCTGCCCCTGGCAGAAGTAGGCAGGGCTCAACTCTATGTGGAGGACCACAGGGGTAGCCACAGGTTGGTTGCAATCAATTAGTGAGGGCCTGACCATGGGCAAGATGCAATCAGCTGGTGTGCCAGATCTGGCCTGCCAGACATATTTTGCCCACCTCGGCACAGAAACACTGTTACCAGACATTGTGAGCAGCAAGGAAATATAATTCACAGGCAGAATGAGAGCAACTTGTACTGTGCTGTCCGGTCTCTCCTAAACATTGTCTGGGAGGCAATATGGAATCCCTTGGGATGTGCCAATGCAAAAGTTCAAGTGTTCGTGGGAGTGGTTGTGCACGCATGCACACCAACACACATGGTCACACACACATATTCTCTCTCTCACACACACACTCCTCTTTAAAAGTGCCACAAAGTTCTGCTCTGCTTTACCTTTTCCATTTGTCAGAAGTGATTCCAAAGCTACAAGTTGTTAAAAGTACGGGAACTCCGGGATAAATATATGAGAAGTGACTCCCCGAGCGGCTTTTAAGATGCACATAGGACAGAAGACTTTTGAAGTAGGTCTTTAATATTTTAAGGGAAGTATTTTATTCACAGAATGAGTAACAACAACTTCCACACCACACGCAAAAAGAAAAATTAGAGCACTAATGAAGATGCAAAAGGGTGGGCAGGAAGTGGATAGACAGCATGGAAGCATTTCAAGAGAGCACATAATTAACAAGTTTAAAATTCAATCACTCCTCTCCAACTCTTGGGACATGTTTAAAATATTAACGATCAAGTCTCTTCTGGAGGTGTACGGAGTGTGCTTTAATCCGAACAAGCTCCCGGGGAAAAGATTACCGCTGGGGGCATACATGCGCTGCCCCTGTTTGCCCATTAGAGCACGAAGAATTCTGTTGCGAGACAGGATTTTGTCATAAAACTCCACCCCACCTCTGGCATAGTCTTTGGAAATGGCAGCTGCCTTTCGGTCCGCCCTGTAATCCAAAGAGCGGCTCACTGAATCAGAAGCACAATGGTAGCAGAAAAATCCAATCATGGCAAAAATCAAGTTAAAAACGACTCGTAGTGCCAAGGGGCTAGAATATAAGCCCAGATGTTGCTTTATCGCCACCGCTGAGATAAAGGTGCCAGCTAAGAAAATGGGAGCCACAGCTGCCTTAATGATGGGGCTGTTGCTTTGCAAGTACATAACCTCTCTGGAGATGGCAAATTTCTGAGCCTCCAGTGAAAATGTCAGGGCATCCTTCAAAGCGTGGCCTTCTTTACTCTCCCAGTCTACTTCCTTGTCGTTTATCATGACAACGTGGTCGATGATTCCTTGTCTGTCCTCAGCTGTGCTGAAGTTTGCAGGGATGCCCACCAATGAACCCGAGGGCAGCCATGAGATCCCAGCGCTCACGGGGTGGAAGCCAGAAGCCAAAAAGGCGCGGTAGCAAAGGGCAGATGCCACACCAGCATCTTTAAGAACGTCATGGAAGAGGTCTTGCAGCCTCTCTGAAAGCTCTACCGACTGCCCTTTGGTCCAGAATTGATGCAACAGTTTGCATGTCTGTTCAGGAAAGATATGATGTGAAAGTTTAGCAACTAACAGTCCTGTGCAGGAGGTGGCCAACGCAGCTGTCCTGTGCCTCTGTACAAATGTAGCTGCTTTCCACAGGAACCGAACAGCCATAGACCTCACCCAACCTGTTCATAAACAAGACACAAACAGGGAATTAAAGGACGCATGCTGCAGCCCTTTCTAAATGAGGTTTAAAAAAAAAGAAAAAGAAAAAGCAAGAGAGGAGAGCACAACAACCAGGAAGATACTTCAGTCTATATACACACAGATAAGGAGGCAAGATAAGAATAGCAGAGTACTACTATTGCAGGGAAACCAGCACGTATGTCACACAGATTTAGTCCCATACTCTTTGGCTTCAATTAATTCCTTCTGTTCTTCCATGAAACTTGTTTGCTGTGCTACTCTTATCACAATGTCATCTGTTGACAAACTCTGAAAGTAGTGGTCTGTATGCACTCAATACCCTACTAGAACAACGTCAAAGATCAGACCCGCGTTTCATCTGACCTGCGAGGCCCTGGGAAGGGCCACGAATTCAGGAGCGAGGTAAGCAAGGGCAGGGGCTGTTGCTGAATCAGGGGTACGTAGCCCTGCTTGGGGATATGCTTCTGTGGTGGGGGAGTAAGGGGTGACAGAGGGGGGTGACTGCTGCATTAACCCCCATGCTGCCACTGCCATTGGAGGTGGTTTGAATCTGGTCTGTGAGGATCTCTGCTGCCTAGATCCTGCCCACGGATTTGGGAGAGTTTGACACCCCTGCTATAACGGGCTTTTTGCCCACACCATCTGCTCTCCCACCAGACCGATCGCTGAATCCAAGGCTGGCATGGACTGTAGACACGTCCTGGATAATACAGCCAAAGAATTTCACCAAGTTACCCCTGTCCTGAGCCCAGCACTTTGTGTTTGGCTACGCCACACCTTCCAGAAAGGCCTCGTCTTGATTTGAAAGCACCAAAAGATGGAAAAAACACCCCTTCCCTTGTTAGTTTGTTATGGTGGCTAATCATCCTTTTCAGCACGTCTTATTGCCTGCCAATCTGAATGAGCCTGATCTGAGCTTCCAAGTATTCCTTCTTGTTATGTTTTTCTCTTTTAATATCCAGCATTTTCCCTTCACGGCAGTACTCACATGCTGTAATTAAGCCACCTCTCAGTCTAAGTCTCTCACTGTAAGACATTCTGTCCAGCCCTCAAAACATTTTTGTGGCTTTTCACTGCATGACTGCAGAGGGTTCAATATCCCTTTAAAATATGTACATCAGAAATGTTTACAGCGTTTTAGTCCTGGCTTTCTCAAACCCACAGTGGTATCACCTTCCTGCTCCTCTTCAATGCTGCCCTGTTTACGCAGCCAAGGATCACATTAGCTCATTTTGTCACAGCAGTGCATTGAGAGCTTATGTTCAATTGATTGTCCACCACAATCCCCTCGAGATCCTTTTCAGTCATTGTTCTCCTGAAAACAGCCCTCCATTCTTTGGATACAGCTGTCAGTCTATCCTTGCTCCTTGGACAGACAACTTTGCATTTGGCTGTATGAAAGCTTATTTTGTCTGAATGGCCACAGCTTCCACAGCATGCCGGATTACTCCTTGTCATATACCATTCCTACCCATTTTCACATCATCAGCAAACTATCAGCAGCAATTACATATTTACTTTCAACGTTAACCAACAGTTACACTTGATCTGGTCTTCACATGAATGCTTTTACACCTCCACAAGATGTAGTCTTACTTGATACTGATCCTCCCGCTGTTGATTATTTTTTAGACTGTAAACCTTAATGCATTCATGTGCTCTTTATTCAGACTGTATGGTGCTCATTTTTTTTCCAATCAAAATGCTGTACGATATCAAGTCAAACAAGATGCAGTAATTTCAGTATGACACCTATGCAGTCACCTTTTATCAGCCAAACTTCTAACCTCCTTTAATGAAAGAAATCAGGTTTGTTTAACAAGACACATTCTCCTCAGAACAACGTCAATTTGCATTAAGCGTCGTGATGCACTTCACCTTTATACAGTACTTTCCACTTGAATAGAGACAGACTTCTTAACAAAATGGAACAATTTCCCAGAACAACTCCAATTTTTATACCTTTGGGTTTTCATTGCAAATGATCCCGTTTAAACTACCAACTTTTTTTTAACTCCAGAAAACCCCCAAATTTTGAGCTTTTCCCATTACAGTGTGAAAAACTAATTTTCAAAGAAGTTTGCACTGAAAAAGAACTTGAACTTCTTTTCACTTGGAAAAGAAACTTCATTTTCACTGAAAAAGAACTTGAAAAGCTAATTTTTCTTTGAAACTTCATTTTCACTGAAAAAAGTCAACATGTGCTGGCCAGCTGTCAATCTGAGGATTGCTCAAGTATAATTTAAACACAAAAACAAATACTTTCAGCAGAAGCCAAGGGGCGACTGAGAAACACATTGCCCTAACTATTTAGCGCACCAGCGCAGATGATAAATCTCAGGTGCTTTATTTTTATTCATAAGTCTCACACAGCATACCTGCAGGGAAGGCAGCTGAAACCTAAAACTAAAGGACAATGTTTAGGGTCCATCTCCTGCAGTTCGTACTTCCCTGGTTATTCCCGCTGAAGGAAGAGAGGCGTATTTGGCAGCCGTGTTGGTCCGAGACAAAAAGAAATGCAAAAGTCTAGACCTCTTGGTTCAGAGACGATACCTTTTATTGGACCCACTGAGACATTAAGGAAGAGCACATGCCAACTGCAGACGCTTCCTCGGCCCGGCGAAGGGTATTTACACCCGAAAGCTGGCAAGGAAGCATTTTGTCCAACTATTTGAGTGGGTCTAATAAAAGATACCGGATTTATCCAAACAACCTGCCCACGTCTTAGATCAACACAACCTACCTACCCCGCTATAAGGACTGGCAACACACACGGTGCCCAACACGTGGCGAATGATCATGTTTCTTGTCATTTTCATGTTTCTTTCTGCCTCATCCCGCATAGACTCCTTTCTAATATCATAGAGCATCTCTCAGGGGTGTACTCGGTAGCCGTGTCGGTCTCCGAGATAAGCCCGCATATGAAAAACTATAACTCTAATAATTCCTAAATCACACGAAAATGGTCGTTTTTGGCAACCGTTCAGGCTCAACGGCCCTTCACCAGGATCTGGGAAAAGCATAGACGATAAAAAGTTGTTTTTTGGTCTCAAAATAAGATGACACACCAAAAAAACCAGAACGCTTGGTTCCCCAAATCATTCCTTGTATTAGACCCAGCAGGAAATCGCAAGAAAACGGTCCTTTTCGGCAAGCTTTCGGGCTCCACGGCCCTCCATCAGGCTCTGGGGAAAGCAGAAGTTAGGAAATAAACTTAATTTTTGCACCATTTCCTTGCGGTTTCCCAGCACGTTTCATACAAGGTATTTTGTACGTCGCCATATCGAATATCTACAAAAAAACCCAAAACATTTAGCGCATCAATAGCAATATTGACATCATTCCTATTTTTTTCCTCCTCCTCGAGGCCTACACCCCCTCCCCCTCCCCCAACCGCTGCTCCGCTTCCCGCCCCTCCCCCCTTCGGGGCGCGGACACACAAGCAAACGCGCGGTAACTCGCGCCCGCACTCACCCGCTCCAGGCAACGCCGCCACCAATCCCCGCCGCTGCCGTCAAGCAGCCCGTTTGCTCGGGGCAGCCGTCAAGCAGGCCGCTGCCGCGCCAACTGTCGCAACGCGCCCCGGCGGCGCGAGTCGCCATGGCAACGCCGCGCGTTCGCAGCCGGGGGCGGGGCCTCCCTGAGCGCCCAGGGGCTGCTGCAGTCGCACGTGTTGGGGATGCAGGCGTTTATCCCTCCTACCCCCCACGGAAAAATGCCTTTGCAATTCCAACAAGCCATCAGGACTGCTAGTGGAGATGACGTCTTTAATTAGGCCTGCACGATTTTTGCAAAAAAAAAAAAAATAAAATTATAATAATAATAATTCTTTGCAAAAATCTTAATGGTCTAATCAAGGAGATCATCTCTACCGCGCTTCCGGATGGCCTTTTGCTCCAGACCAATGCGGTTACCACCTGGGTGCCTCTCTGCAAGTGCAAGGGCTTCCCTTTCCTCCTGCTGCAATTGGGCTGAAACAGCCGGGGGAGGGAAGTGTTCAGGTTTCCTCTCAGAAAGTTTTAGGCAAAAAGGAAAGGAAACCTCTGCTTTCAAAAAGTTTTAGGCAAAAGGGGAAGAGACAAAAAAAGGGAAACACCTGTTTTTAGAAAGTTTTAGGCAAAAGGGAAAG